ACGCTCGACCTCGACACGTGATATCGAAATGGGTGAAATCGCCTCTTGGTATCACTAACTATCTTGAATCTCTTCACCTCTACTGCCTGGGCAAGCTAGCGAGGACGGTCTACAGGGGGGGGGAGGAAGGAGGTTATCTCACGTTCATGCCGATTCGCTGCTGCTTTCTCGCATGCCATTCACTCGTCTGCTATGACAACGAAAAGAGGCCATTTTAAGGCCTATCGCTGTATACTCTCTGGCTAGAGCGAAGATTTTAGCGAAATCGAAGTAGATACAATTCGTACATTCCTGTCGCGGACCATATCTCGTCTCATATCTTTTGCTCTGGAAGTGATCAACAAGAGGAGACGAAAGAGCAGCGTGATACCCGATAGTAAGAGAGAGGCTGTTCATTTTTTTAGAATCACGACACCGAACGGAGTTTCGCAAAAATTATTGGGGGTCTAAAAAAGGCATTTCCGAGTCTATTCCCTTTCTTCGATCCCTTCCCGAGACAAAATTCGACCACCTCGCATTCCTCCCTCTAAGAGCTTCTAGAGCAGTTGTGCCCAAAGTTTTGGGTCATGGGGGCCGCAAAGCCTGTGGAGTGCGGGTTCACGGGCTGCAGAATTAAAAAAAAATAGTTTCCTTAGTGTTTGACCTAATTCAGCATGCTGTTTAACCGGGATGGGCCTCATTTTTCTTGCCTCACATCATCCAGCGACGGTGGAGATGGAAATTAATGAAGAGATAGGAGTTTTTTATTATGTGATTCTGAATGAAATTGTCAGGTTCGCAAGGACAGCCAGGACTGCCAAACTATCAGAGATGACTTCAATTCCCTTTAATGGTTCAATGGAGACAAATCCCGTAGATTTCCTCTTTAGAAACTCTTTGTAGCCTGAAGTTCATGAGACCTCGTTCTTTCAATAACTACCTTATAGGTCATTTTTTGCAGGCATGCCTCACGTGGGGAAGTGAAATGAATGTTTTTGAGAATACCTTTTCTTCTCGACGGGTCCCATTCGATGGAGCTCATGAAACTGGAACTTTTTTGTGATTTTTGATGACGAACCGAGTCGAATCATGAGGTCGCATGACATTTCTTAATTCGGAGAAATAAAAGAGTCAGAACCGTGATGATGGAGTCGACCTCTTTATTTTTTAAATGTTTCTTCAGGTTTTTCCCACAACGGGTTTCATTTAATAGCAAGGCCCTTCATTTTGCCACATGGCTTACATAAATGTCATATGTCCCTGATTTGTCCGAAACGTTTCGTCAAGTATCAAATAGCTAACTGTCGATCCTTTATCTCCAATATCCCAACCTCTTTGGCCTCCAATCCCACAAAAACGAGAAATGAATCATGTCTTTCGACAATATCAGTCTTAAACATTTTTAGTTGTGGGGTATTTAGTGATGCTTTCAGGACAAAAATATCTGCTTGGTACAAGTCCAGATTTGGGGTGAAATCATTATATTTTACTCGAACTTTGTCCAGTGAGCCTTACTCATCCCTCCTCGAGTATATTGCGTCATAGTACCCCAATGCTTCGAATGAAATTGGAGCGGAATGTGATCAACTAATTATTTCATATACTGCATTCACCCAATGCATCTCTCTCTTCATATTCTGTATAATCGCGAAGATGTTGTTGAGGTGTTGATACTAAAGTGCGTATCAGCCCTGGATTCCTGGATGGAATTATTCTCTCCTGTACCCGAGTCATTTGGCCTGTTTTTTGTTTAGAATCCTTTTTCTCCATTTCACTCTAAAACTGGAGTCAATTGGCCTGTTCTTCGCTCTGAGAATCCTTTTTCCCCATTTCACTGTGAAGCCAGAGCCAAATGGCTCGGTTTTTACCCATAGAACTGAACCACTAATGTCCTCTCCAACTGTAAGAATGAACTAATTTTGTTTCCTTTTTTTAAATTCCGAGAGTAGTAAGAAGGCGCACTTCTCCTTCATAAATTTTTTTGGAATAATGACCTCGATCTGATCCATGCTTGTATATCAATTATAACTAAGATCGAACAAATAATTGACTGAAACGGCCCAGTTGTATGTACCATTAAAAATGACACAATTGACTTCAGCAACATTGTAACATCCGCATTACAATAAATTAATACTTCAAATAGGAAATACTAGTATACAGTATATTAAGACGGGAGAAAAACTCTCACGAGATTCGGGAGAAGTCATATCAACCTGTACAAAACAAATTTAATGAACATATTGTAAGCATCGTGAAAGTTATATGCATTTAAGCAAGATAAAACAATTGATAACGAGATCACCTAATTTTGAGGGAAGTCAACAATCTTTCTAGTGAACTTTCTGCAGAGTTAGAACCTATGCGTCTGGGTCGAGTCATGAAAGCAAATGATTGAGGCGTAAACGGAGAGTTTAGATACAGAATGATATTTATTTGGTGTAGTGCAGCACAAACATGAAGCTCGTTTTTCTAGTGAAAGGAGGCCTTCTGCAAATGATGTCCTAATGCGATGCGGCGTCACTCATGTAATGCGATCATGGCGTCGTCCATCTCCTCGGTGAATTCCTCCATGGTCGAGTCTCTTATGGTAAGTCTATGAAAATGGAAGAAAATATATTTTAATATTGATTTATATTTCGAGCACGCAAATCACTCTACTCCCTGGCATAATGAAAACTAACCTGTTGTCTGTTCCGGTTTCCTCATCTTCTTCGATGGTCTTCTCCAAGGAAAGTTGTTGGTTGCTGGTTGGTGAAGAGATATTCTCGGTATTCAAGTCCATTTTCACCAAGGACCCCAACTTGGTATGACTGGAGAGATCACTGCTCCCTGAAATAGAAGAGTGGAAAATATATTAGTTCATTCCATTATCAAGGAAAATGTTCTCGTTTAAATGGGTATGCATTTGAATAACTGCACTCACTCAGTTCCCGGCAATTGGACAAGATCCATTCTTCTGGTTTCCCAAGGCCTTCAGGAGACCCTTCATTGTTGTGATTGATGATATTAATACGACTTTGGTTTTGCTTCCTATCACCGCATACATGTATTCTCGTGGAAACAGGCAACCTTGAAATTAAAAAAAATTTAACCAACCATCAGTTATATGGTCATGTGGCATTCGAATGGGACGCACATTTTGAATTGCAAACAGCCACGTTTTTTGGATCAAGTGTAGGCGGCTCTGACGTGATCGTATATGATTTCTTATCACTAACAGAACGCCAGCGTGTTCGAGGCTATAATGACTCCTTAGACTCCTTGTAGTAATATACTGAATTTATTATATAATTACTGTTAGTCGCTGACAACCAGGATAGGATGAGAACAATGTTGACAAGAATCAGAAATGGGATATTGAAGCCGTATTCGAACTTCTATTGCGTACAAAAGTGACTGAATAAGAGATACAAAATGTCCTATACCTGTGTGTTTATGAACGTGGGGTGGGCCGATGTCCTACATTCACTCTCAACTCTCGACTCGATGTTTTTCCTCTCCGCTCACATACACCGCAACTCACATCATCCGCCAACTCACTCTTTTATTGCTCGCGCAGTCTTTTATAACTCTTTCTTCGGGACATGCGCGA